GTCTTGAACTTTTAGAAATCCAGAACTATTTATGAATTTTACTTAGGTACATTACCAAATACAGGCTGTAAAATATATTATCTGCCGATGACCAGATTACCAAATTCAAGATCAAAGAACCTTTAAAAGTCATTTCCTCTAGTATGAGGAAACAGAGAAACTCATGACCAAGTGAAAACAAGTTCAGAAGTTGGATTCCAAGATATTAAAACAAAGTGTTCAGAACCAGATTATCACATCCATATAGTTAAGCCACTCACAGACCAACCTTCTCAGCATTTCTGAGCACCTGATATAACAACACATCTCAAGGCTGGACAAAATATCCAAGGTGTTTGGTGTTGAAGCAGCTCCTTAGAATCAAAGAAATCACCTTATGGTGTCAGATCAGTATGAGACTTACTGAGATGATATCTTATTAAGTTATGCAATGTCTAATCACTGGGCTATACACCTGAAACTAATATAATAACATATGTCAACTGTAACTGAAAATAATAAATAATAAAAAAATTTTAAAAAACAAAGAAACCACCTAAACACTTGCATCTTACATCCAGAGTGCTATGACTATTCCTTTCTCTGATGGGGGGGAACGCAGCGGGGAGGGACAATATTCTAATGTACTAAAAAGTCAGACCTTTCATATAAAAACTTAGAACTTTAAGAAGAAAAGGGGGGCCAAAAAGTGTTACTGCTATTCTAATACTAGAGAAGTTACTACAGAACAGTCTAGGTAAAAATTTCAGGAGCAATTCAGTCTTCAATGTTATAGGCCTTAAATGAATCCAGACTACACTTCTGTATTTAGTGAATTTAAATTATGAATTTTTTAATGTAGAAAAGTATAATAAAGATCACCCATAATCCCATGACTTAAGAATACCACTGTTACCAGGTTAACATATATTTTTATTTCTCTCTTATTAATTTATAAACTGCATGGGCTTATTTGATGAACTGTTTATATGAAATAATAAAATTCAGAGACTAAATAAAATTGCTGATGAAATTTACTAAAGATATTCACAATAGAGGTTAAAAAAAAACTAAATGGAAAGGATATCATACTTTTATTCCCAACAAGTGCAGCCTTTACATTTTCTTGGAATTTTTACATGAATACCCTAAGTTTAGAAAAAGAGATGCCAAGTATATTAACATTTATTATATTAAGAGAATTATGGGACTAGGATTATGGAAAAAATCATTCAAAGACAATTGAAAATATACATGGCTCTACTTCAGTTCCCAATTAGACATGAAAAGGAAAACTGTTTCTTATTAAAAAGCTGTCTACAACTCTATGACATATTTAAAATATTTTTGATTTACATGAAGGTCATATTTTTAAAATTCTGTATAGCAAAGACAGAAAATACCTATATCAGCAAGCATATTTCCACTGACACAAACTTAATCTAAAAGACTCCCTTATCTACAAATGGCTGACACCAGAAACACCCCTTCTCATCATTACTTCTAGACATTTCCTTACTATTTCCCCTCAGCAACTACTTCAGATATCAATGCTACCTGAAAACACCTACCTTTACCTCCAATTCACACTTTACCCTTACACAAACTGACAAAGGATCACTTAGTGGTGACACAAGACAGGCAGTAAAAAGGAGAAGAGAGGAAGAAAGAGGTAAAAAAGAAAAAGAGTGCATTAAACCTCCTTGCTAATCTTTACCACTAGTCTATCCACTATCTTATAACCCTGTACTGCTCACTATCACCAGCAAGCATCAGTTGCACAAATGGATTAGGAAGGATGGAGAGATGGTTTTCCACCACAGCAGAAAAATCTTATTTTCTTATTCCTGCTTCATTTTCAATTCTACTACCAGAAATAAGGGAAGGAAAAATGATATATTCAAGCCTACTCTCATTATTCAGTTCTCACTTCTGTCCTTACTATCCAGTGAATATTTTGCTTTATTTTCCAATCTATCCCAATTTATTTTCTTCCTTGCAATCTCTCTCCCAAAAGACTGCAATCTCTCACATAACCTAAGCTCAGCTAATCATAGCTATCCAATAGATTGCCCCATTCCCATCAATTTATATCCTTTTACCTAACACAACTTCTATGGCTACTTTCCTGCTTCCCATTTCCCTCACATTCCACCAACATTTTCAGTCACAATTAGGCATGGCATTGAGAGGACCATTATTCCCATAAACTATATACAGTGCTAATTATGTACTATCCAAACTTTAAGGAAGTTATTTTAATATTTTTGAGATTCGATTCACTCACATGTACCGGAAGGAATTAGTTTAGGTCACTACTCCAAAATCTGGCTGACAAATTTCCAGACCCCAACAATAGGGATTCTGAAATCATGTATCTGAAGTGGTACACAGCAATTTCCTAAAAGGCACTCAGGTGAGTCCCCTGATGCTTAGGAATCACTGATAAATGCCCTTCTTAGTCTAGCATTCCAAGATTCTAAGCTGGCATTTTCACTGCATGTTCTGATAGGAATATTGTTACAAAAGTAGTTTCCAGTTATTGGTATTACAGTTCATGTTATGTTACTGATTAAATAGGCTTTTGTAACATGCCTTAGTACCTAAGCACAATTTATATTATTTTATAAGTATAGCTGACTTGCAAATGAACATGTAAAATATGTTCGCAGACCAGAGATCATCAATATTGTAACAATACTAACACCTTAAAGGAAAACACTAAAAATTATTTCTTTAGAATTATGTTCATCATCAGACTTTCACAGATGGCTTTTTCACTGATTTTTATCTAGTCACAACTAAAGTTTGACCCACATGTCAGAAATAAAGGTAGGAAGGGCATGCTCATTAGGATCTTTTATTTTGCTAGTTCACTGATGGGGCTTTGTATACCACTGGAATAAAGCCTAGAGAAGTCTACAACATCGATGAAATTTACGGCATAAGATATCTAAAGAACAGTCTCATTCAAAGATTTATGGATTGCCAAGTCTTTACCTGCCCCAAAGCGCACCAGATCATTCACTTATGAACTACCTGTATCTATTCTAGTTTTGGTAACTTCCAACTACCAATTCTCATTATAAAGAAAATGTTCCCTTAGTTAATATTCAAGCTTACAGATGTGTTTCAACATGTGGGAACTAAGTAAGTATAAACAGCACTTTAAAACATAACACATTAGTAGTGCATTAATTTAAGTGGAACTTATTCCTTTACGAATAAATGAATAATGAAATTATTATAAAAAGGCAAAAATGAAAACTGAATTATATGCTAATCATATTTTCTTTAAAAGATGTGCTTTCATAAATTGGTACAAAATAGCCTGATAAATAAAAGGAAAGCGTATCCATTTATTTTCTCATTTCTCCAAACATAAAAATCCGTAGTGAATTCCATTATGTAAGCATTCTCTGGATATCAAGAATGATGCAATGGCTGCTATGGTAACTACTCATTACACTGAATAAATTGTGGGTTAGGGTGGAAAGCATTCTTTTAAAAACAAATTTCAACATTTTAGCTATACCCGATATATCTCTATTGCTACCTACTAAACCATAACTGTGGGCCATCTTTGAGAATATTATTTAAGAAGCTATTTAAAAAGCTAAGCTTGATGCCCTGGCTGGTGTGTCTCAGTGGATTGAGCGCAGGCTTGGGAACAGAGGTTAGATTCCCGGCCAAGGCACAGGTCTGGGTTGCTGGGCAGGCAGTGGGGCATGTTGGAGGCAACTGACTGATGTTTCTCTCCCTCTCTTCCTCCCTCCCTTCCTGTCTCTAAAAGTAAATAAATAAAATCTTAAAAAACAGTAAGAGCTAGGCTTGAGTTGCCAAGGAAAGAAAATTGTTAAAGAGTTAGAAAAATAAAACACATCAACTGTATTCAAAGAGAGTACTAACCTTTTAGAGTAATTAAAAACTATTCATAATCAAAAGCAACATGATTTTACACGTCTGTTCCACCAACTGTCATAATTTTGCTTCTAATCCTAAATTATGTATAAGACTAACACTAGAAGATTGCTGACTTTTCAGTTTGCAATTAAACTAAAACCAGAGCAAGTAGCGTGAAGATCCCTCATTTCAATCTTTAAAATTTCTCCTGGGCACGTTAAAAAAATTAAAATAAAATAAATAAATAACCAACCTGGGAATTTTCAGTGCATTAATATAAGGCAGGTCTGTAAAAAGGCCTATACTTAAAAATGCCTAAGATAACTGTGGACCCCAACTATAAACACTCCTCAGGCACAAGCAAAAGCTACTAAGACTTCTTCCTTCGCTTACAACCTTCCACAGGTGATCTCCTAACGACGGCTGTCTTCTCCAGGGAAATGTGTCCTCGGGATGCTTATTCAAAAGCTAAACTGTCTTTTGAGAACCTGCCCCAGATTCTTCCTCCTCCGCATAAATAAACACTAAAATCAAACATCTTAAGTATATTGAATGGGGCATTAGTGCAGCCCATCCTCCTTTTAACAGTCAGCAAAAAGGCCTGTTGACTTGGAAGCCCTGGAACCCAATGCGAAGAAGCCCGAACACCGCCTGGCTAAACCCGTCGGAATGAAATTCTGTAAACGCAATGCGTGACCTGGCAACAAATGAAACAGGCTGGTCAAGCGCGAGCGAGAGGCAACTAGGGTTCCTTTCAGTCCGCCTTTCTTAAATAGATTTTACCTGCCGTCGTGTTTTACCTTCATGTCTCTCCCAACGAGAAACCTCCACTTCCTTTATGAAGGTGTACGTGTTTGTGTGTGGTGACAATAATCTCAGCACCCCGGCTGGGAGCTGGGGATTGGTGGGGGTGGAGACTTAGTTCTTTCACAAGCCTGTAACTCTCCTGGAAGAAGGAGGTCCGGGGCTGGGAGAGCGGTATTGGCCGGTGCTGGCATGCAGCTCCTTCAGGTTGCAATGGTGGTCCCTTGGCGGGAGGGTAGAGGTGTATAGGGCTGGGAGCGATGATGCCTTCCCTCTTCTACCCCTACTGCCCCCCGGCGCAGCTCACTGTTTACCTTCCCGGTACTTCTTGCGGAGCCGCCGGTGGACGCTCTTTACCACCCCGGACAGCTTCTCCTGCTCCAGCTTCCGCTCCTGCTCCCGGGGCGGTGGAATGCTCGGGGGTCCTACCCCCTGTCCGCGAACACAGTTTCGGCCGCCAGCCCCGAACTCCATTTCACTGCCGCCGCCGCTGTCACCGCCACACCTCCAGCCCTCGCAGACACCCGCCTGACGAAGGAGGTAAGGAACGAGGCAGCAGCGGAGGTAATATCAGAAAAAGGCAAAACAGCCGGAGCCACGGCTTGGAGACGTCCGGGGTGGGAGGGGAGCGCGGGAAGGCTTACCCAAACGTACAACCTGATTGGTGAACTACCGAAGGCTGGGCGGAAACGGAAAAGGCCAAAGGCGGAATACCTCGGCTCTCTCAGTTGTTTGCGCAAGGGAGCAGCTGGAGAAGATGGGGCTGGCAAGCAGAGAGGAACTGAGGAGGTGGGAGTAGTGAACCCCGAAGCTCCGCTTCTCCCCTCTGTCAACCGGATTTTGTGCGCAGGCGTCGTAATGAAGCTACGAGAAAGGGTCTGTGCCCACGCGCTTGCGCATCTGAGTTTGCTTGGTTTGGAAAGCATTGTGACATCCAGTTTTCTACCAGTGATTCCGTCTCCTGCCAGTTCTATTCTGGTGTGACGAGGCTATCTGGCATCTACGCACTGATTTAATAAACAGCTGGCAATAGCTAATGTCTATTGTGCCAATGCTGTGTGAAAGACAGAAAATGGGGACAGAGAAGGGCCAAGAAAAGCAATAGATGAGGGAAGCGAGGGAATGAAAGCTGGATGCCCTCAAGAACTTTTGCAGAGACCTGGGTATCAGAGGAATCCTGCCCTGGTTTAATAGGCATAAGAACTCTGAGCACTGTTAAAGTTGGCTTCCGTGACCCCTACTGCGATTTAGTTTTGTGGGTTAATCTATGTGAAGTGTGCTTAAGTGTGTTTGACAGCCTTCTCCCCCACTCTTAACTCCCTCTTCTCTTGGAAAATTCATGGGGAATGTAGTTGCTGACTTCTATACCAGAAAGATGGAACACTGCTCTTCAAAGAGAAATATGAGACTCTGCATTAGTTCCTGAAGTGGTACTGAGGCTGTTGCAATGACAGAGATTCGGTAGCTGAAAGCCCTTAAGGAACTGTGTTAGGTTGTAACGTATTCCTGCACTACAGTTGTTGGTTACATGGGTGAACACTGAAAAAGATACCTATGAAGAAGGCCACCTGGTAGCTTATTGGACTCAAATTTAAAAGCAAAGACAACAGTCTAGCAAAGATTTCTCTGCAAGGGTCACTCATGGAAAACTCACTTCAAGGGAAGCCTACACTGAACTACCTTCCTGCACTGTGTTTCTGCCTTCTGAGCTAGCTCTAATACAGGAGTTTCTGGAACCTTACTTCAACCAAAAGGACTGAGACTTTCCATGTCTAATTGGAGCTGTGCAACTATATCTCATAAGCATCTTCACTGACCAATCAAAGCAGTTCCATTCTGACCAGTCAAGATAGTGCCTTTTGGACCAAACCAGGAGGATTTGGAGTCCTCATTTGCATGAGGATGGACCAATTAGGGACCAGGGATGAAGACATCTGTGGATATAAAAGTCAGCTCCCCTCTGGCTTAGGGGTGGTACTGTCCTTTGTAAGCAAGACTGAAGATTGCATTTCCCCAGCTGGAGTGGAAACACTGAAGGCATCTCACCAGAGTGGAGCTGAGAAGAACAGACTGATGCAGAGATCAGCATATTGATGTGGAGCAGAATGGACCAGAACAGGTGTGTTGCAGGTGGGCACGGGGAACCAGGTTCTTGGTGATCACAAAGAATTGAACCAATCACACAGAGTTTACAGCAGAAAGAGAGAGAGAAGATTTATTAAGCGATAGTACACTCCACAGAACATGGAAGCATGCAACTCTGAGCAAGACCCCTCAGGGGCTGGAGTGATACTATTTTTATAGGGTGGATATTTCCTGGCTAGTTTTGGCGGGGTTTTATTGCGCATGTACAAGCAGTTATATTACTTTAAAACTACTGCTCATGTGGTCTCCCATGATTTTTCGCCCATGACTGGCCACCAGGAAAGGGGGTCCCACAATGTTAATTTATTATAATGCTATTCTAATGAAGCAGGGGTCACGTAGCATATTCAGTGCAGGTACATTCATGATTCACCATGATTCAGCACTTTTCCAGAAAGCGGGAACAACCAATCTTAGAACAGGGTCTCTGTCCTGTACTGATGTCTTTTGTCTTAGCCTTGCGGGACCTCCAGAGTTTCCTCCTTCCTATCTCCTGCCTCAGGTGGAACAGACCACAATAGGGCAGAGATGCCTCGCTGAAGACAGGTCTCACCCCAAAGCCACCTCCAACCAGGGCCACCTCACCCCAGGGCCACCTTTCCTCAGGGAAAGCCTGGCAGCAATGCTGTTCCATACTACTTCATGATTGAGCTCTTCTACAGACATGCTGTTCTTATAGCTTACTGTACTACAGTTGAGCTATTTGCATCAAATAAAATGTCTCTCTTCACTGCACCCCAAATTGGGGATTCCTCTTGGCATTGAATTGGTGCCAATGACCATTGGTTGGCACATGACATTGTTTGGAAATTTTTGCAATAACTTTCTGATCAGTAACCTTATAATATAAATAAAGCTTGTACTATGTAACTTTTATATGCCACCTTCTCATTAATGAAGACACTGAAGAAAAAAACATACAGTGGCTGCAGACATGAGAGAGGAGAGGAAAGGGGAAGTTAAAAGTTGGAAGATGTGTACTTACAGGCACAGTGAAGAGGCAGATCAAACACAGATAAACTTCAAAAGAACTAATTATAATTATGAAGATAAATTACACAAGAGTGCCTATTAAATTGAGAATATTGTGGTCTTATTTGAGGAGATTTCATTTGGGAAAAAAAGGGAAGCTTGAAAAGACAAACCTTTTTGGACTCTTCATATTTTAGTATGTGTGGGAAGCAAAAAGGTGCAAATATTTGGAAGTTAAATCATAGTAAAGAGAGCATTAATTTCATTTGCACTGAATTGTAATTTTAAAGAAAACTTCCACGCTACTACTAGCAAATGAATTTTAAAATGCTTTTTATTTTTATTTAATCCTCACCCAAAGGTATGTTTTTATTGATTTTAGAGAGAGAGTAAGGGAGAGAGAAACATTGATCGGTTGCCTTTCATAGGCACCCCAACTGGGTATCAAACCCTCAACCTAAGCATATGCCCTGATTGGGACTCAAACCTGCAACCTGTTAGTATATGGAATGATGCTGCAACAAACTAAGCCACCCAGCCAGGGCTTAAATGCTTTGTAAAAAGTAAAGTACACTGAAGGAAAATTAGAAAATACATAAGAGTAAAGAGAGTAAAAGTGCTAAGACTATAGATCTTAAATTTCACCTCAAAAAAAAAAAAGGTAACTATTGTGAAGAAAGCTGATACTATAGTCGTATTTACTTTGCAACTTACAAAAGTAACCAACCAACACATTGTACACCTTAAACTTACACAATGTTCTGTGTCAATTATATCTCAACAAACCATAAAAAAGGTATAAGTCACCTGAAAACTCCCTAAGTTATAACAACTGTTACATTTTTTTCTTTGCTTGTAAATACAGTATTTCAAAGGGGGTATTTCTTGATGGCTGTGTGGTAATTTACTTTATGAATAGCCCATCATTTCAGTAACCAATTCCCAGCTATTGTATATTTTGTTGTTTCCAGTTTTTATATATTCCAAATAATGCTGTGATGAACACTGTAATGCAAAAAAAAAATTGTCCATTTCTTACACATTTTATTAAATTAAATTTAAAACAAAATTTTGAATCAAAGTTCAAACATGTTAAGGTTTCTGATGTATACTGTCAAATTACCTTTCCTGAAAGATGATAGCAGGTTAGGACACCTCCAGTAGTACATGTGAATGTCTGTTTCACAGCACCAATATCAAATATGGGTACTACAATTTACAAACTCATTAAAGAAATTTTTAAGGATCTCTATGTTTAGGAAATATGGGAATTACCTGATGTTTCTTAACTGGATATTCTGGTTGGCATACTATTTAATAGTAAAATTAATACTCTAAGAGCAAGTAAAAAACTTAAGACTATCTAGTTGTCATTTTTAAAGCAAATTGAAGACCTCTATATTTTAAATTTGTTTTTTACTTCACAGTTTCTTGAAATAAGCAACTCAAGAAATAGAAATTGCACAGCTTGTTTTTATTCTAAATTTGCATTAATTCAAATAGGTCAAGAGTTGACGTGTCCTGAGAAACACCAATATCGAGTTTTCTTAGGTGGACTGTGGCAACTGGCCATAGACCACAGCATAGAAGAGTGTTGATATTTATAACTCTCCTCCAGTGTAATTAGAAATATTGGCAAAATCTTTCTGTCAAAGTAGCAGAAAAATGGTAATGGGATTATCCATTTAAATAAAATTATTGTCTTAATTGATGGTAAGAGGGACTTACTACAGGAAGTAGATTTGGTACCACATTGAACAGCATATCCTATGCCCAAGAAAATAACAGCATCTTCTCCCACCTCCTCATACACACACATTAGTGTGGTAACAGTATTTCATTTATTGTAAATATCTTTTTAAAATCTTATTATTATTTTAAATGGCAGTTGGGAATTGGGATTTTGGAATAAATCAGTATTCACTGAGCAAGGAAAGCAGTCTGGAAGAAAGAGTCATTTCATTTTTTAAAATTATGTTTTGTTTTTTATGATATTAAGGTTGCCCCCACTCTTGCCCTGTTGGTTGCATCCACCCAGCACCCCCTCCCTCAGGCTATCCCCATACCATTGTCCATGTCCATGGGTCATGATATATGTTCTTTGGCTAATCCCTTCACCATCTTTCATCCAGCCTCCCCCTCCCATCTCCCTTCTGACAGCTGTCAATCTGTTCTATATATCTATGCCTCTGTTTCTATTTTGTTCATTAGTTTATTTTGTTCATTAGATTCCACATATAAGTGAGATCATATGGTATTTGTCCTTCACTGCCGGGCTTATTTCACTTCAGGTCTCCAGTTTCCTCCATACCATTGCAAAAAGTAAGAGATCCCTTCTTTTTTACGGCTTCATTAAATTCCATTGTGTAAATGTACCACTTTTTTTTTTTATACACTCCTCTACTGATGGGCCCTTGGGCAGTTTCCAGATCTTGGCGATTGTAAATAATGCTGCTATAAATATACGGGTGGATATATTCTTTTGGATTAGTGTTTCAGGATTCTTAGAATATATTCC